GGAATACACAACACCCTGAGACCCCTTCTCAAACTGAGGCATGGACCTTCCTAGAAGGCAGGCCAAGAAGAGTGGTGAGGGATGTGGGAGCAAGAGTTGGGTCTTCAAGCATCAAATCATCAACTGTATTCAATGTTCAATAAATCAAAACAATCTTTTAAAATTCAAACAAATATGGGAGTTTTACCAGATAGACAACCAGATTTACATGGGGTTTCTTAAACAAAAATATGACAATTCAATAAAACTTCTGGCTTACTGAAGGCCATTTCAGGCAGTATCCAGACCCACAGAATACCCATTCACTTTTCTCTGTCCTTGAGCACTTTAGTGTAGAAAAATGTTTGTGAGGCCCTGGTCCACAGCCCGCAGATCCTAGAGACATGCAGAGACACCCAGCTCTCACCAGAAGAGCTAGAAAGAAGGTATCTCTTCACAGCCAAGGACCTGAAAACCAACCCTCTCTGCAACTTCCCCTGAGGGATCCCAGGAAGGGACTTTGTGCTTGCCCTGTGGGAGGAACTCCAGAGCCAACTGAAAGTTGGCAGCCACTCCAACAGCTGTAGGACAATGTTCTCTGTGGGAGTCTTCAGACAGTTTCTTCTTTTCCTTGGGTATAAGAAAGGCTTCTCTGGCAAGCCAAGCTTCAGCAAATACCACATGGACCCCCAAGATATCTGCCCCAATGCCTGGCCAACTTTCAACAAGCCTTTGTATCAGTCAAGATAGGCTAGGTTAAGCTGTGGTAAAAAGAAAAAAAAAAAAAATCCAAAAGCTTGTGGTTTATGGCAGCAAAGATTTGTTTCATGCTCATGCTACATGCTCATCATGGGCTGACCGGGGATTCTACCTAGTGTTTCCTCCCTCCAGGACACAGACTAATAGAGTAGCCACCTTCTCAAGTATTGCTGGTCACCATAGAAATCTTTGGAGAGTCTCAACCTGTAATTAAATGCTCAGCCCAGAAGTGGCATTCCTTTTTCCATGTACAACTGATCAGCCAGAACTTGTCACATGGCTCAACCCAACTACAAGGAACGAGGAAGCCCAATCTAACCATATTTCTTGAGAGAGAACAACTGGAAACAGTCGGTGAACAGCAATAATGGTTACCACAGCCTTCTCTGAAAGGCCTAACACCGAGCCTTTAGGCTGTATGCCTGGTCCCAAGGGAAAACCTCAGGCCTAAGGGAGCAGCTGGAAAAATAGAGGTCCATCCATACTGCTGTACCCACCTAAGCATAGGAAGCACCCACAGGGGATCATGGGTGAGTAGCCATTATATCTATACGGTCTAAACCACATGCTTCATGCCTCTCTGATCCCTGGGGTTCACATGTGGTCTCATTTATTCACCAGCCTGCTGGGCTCATTCTGGGTAAGCTGCAGATGCTTAATGACCGCCTACTCTTAGATTTTTCTATGAATATTCAGCAGAAGGGTAAGGAGTAAAGGGGTGGCAGTGGTGTTGGAAAGGAGAGTCATGAAGTCTGGAACTGTAGTTCATCACACCACGTGAAGCAATCAATTAAGATCTGTACTAAGTAATTACTCATGTTCTCCAAACCTACCCTGTATTGGGTATTGCAGGGGAGCGAAGAGAAGATATAGTCCCTGCTCTCAAGGAACTTATAATCTGTGAAGTGAGTTAGAACACTATCTATTACCTCATACTGTAATTTTTCTCTAAGTGCCAGACAAATGGTACCCATATCAAAAGTTGTTTGAGTTTGGATGAGGTAGGGTTTACCACAGGTTGATTGGTGTGGAAAGGCTTAATGGAAGAATTAGGGCATGATCTGGTCTGGGACAGATGGGTAAGCTTTGGATGGGCAAAAGGAGGGGAAAAGAGTATGGGGAAAGGCACAGGAGTGTCACTTTTCATGCCTGCTTATGAAACAATGAGTGGATAGACCCATATAGAGGCACAGTGAGCCAAGAAGTGGGAAATGGAGGTGAAAGGCTATGGAAGGCCTTGAATATCAACCCAAGGTTTGTATCTATTCCTTTTTTTTGCAAACAGAGGTTGGAGGGTCAGCTATTAGGGATGCTTTACAACGGATTCTTGTCTTAAGTGGAAGGTTTGGCCAGTCATTATTACCAAATTTAACCGTATATCAGAACCCCTACCTAACCGCCCCCCCCCCGCCCCCCACAGCCTCACACTAGAAGTTTGTTAAAAATATACTTCTGTTAAAAAAAAAAAAAAAGTTCTCGCCACAATCCTCGGGACCCATCCCTAAAGATTTTGATTCGTCAGATCTAAGATGGGATCAAACAATCCGTATCCTTAGCCAGCTTCCCAGGACAGTCTGACGCGGTAGTCTGAGCATCCACCAGGCCACGCGCTTTCCACCCAAACGTGGCCCTGGCACGTCTGACTCAGCATGTCAAAAGCTGAATTTTATTTGGGCACACTCCTGAAAACCAGCGCTTATTTCTTATCACTTTATTTCTGATACGGGCGCAGGTGCTCTCCTTCCATTCAGATTCGATACCTTAGCACTGCGCTGGGATTCTTTTTCATAAAAAACCTCACATCCGATTGGTTGCCTCCTCTTCTTGGATGTCCTTTACAACCTTCTCAGATCTGTCTGTTCCTTTCCATTCCCACTCCTGCTACGTTTGGTCAGACCTTTTCTCACCTCATTCTGGGACCGGTGCAGTAGCCTCCTAATTCCTTATCCCTCTCATTCCCTCCTGCACGTTGCCATCAGATGTCTCCCGATTAGCACCATGATTGGGGTATTCTGCAACTCAACCACTGGATCCGATCCTGCACCTTAGCCTGCATAAAATTCAAAAGCCTTAACATTTGAAGCTGAGACAATGTGGTTCTGCCTATCTTCCTTTGCTAAAGTCCTAGCCAAACTGACTCACTCTCCTTCACCTGACATGCCGTGTACCTTCTAATCTCAAATGTTCTCTACGCTGAACCCCAGCTCACACCTCTACCCAGTCCAAAGGGCGAAAATAAGTGATGGTGGCAAGGGTGGACTAATCAGTAAGCAAAGTATGCATGGGCTTAATTGTGTTTACTAATCTGTAGTGCACAATTTCATGTGGGTTTCACCGCATCTTTGATGTGATGAAAAACAGGTGAAACCGTGCCCTACGGATTAGTAAACAAGCGCAGGAAACCCCGTGCATCCCTTGCTTGCTGGGTAATCAGTCGCTGGATGGTGGCATGTATTCAGAGAGGCCCAGAAGTTTAAAGCTCTCTCATGCCCACAGCTTCCTTGGGATGAAAGCAATCCTGGCCAATTCTTTGTACATAAAATTGCTAAAACCGTTTTTGCCACGTGCAGAGAGTTAACCTAACCCTGCTGTCCTGGCCTCCAAACACATCGCGCGATCGTGGCTTTAAACTTCCCAAAAGGAACACTCCTATCCCATGGTAAGAAACCAACCCAATCAGGTCCTCTCTCGGGAATAATTAATTATAGGGACACACAGACGGTGACCGAGGCTGCATCTTGCCTACACTGGGGGAAATTTCTTGTTTATAGGCAAAGAGGAAGGAACTAGGGAGACTCCTCTGCTGCACGTTCAGCCTAGGCTAATGAAGAAGAGAAAGTCAAGGAGATGTTAAGATCCCGCCTGCTTGGCCACGCCGCAAGCCCAGCTGAAGTCAGCACCACGTGAGTGCAGGTTCCTCAACTGGAAGGATTCCACTTACCAGACGAAATACAGACAGGAAACACATCTTTGTAATCACACGGGGGCGCCACTCAAAGGCTCTTTCCCTCCGGCTACCCCGGTTCACCTCCTAAGGAGTTTTTCAGTTGATTTATTTTTTCTCCTTCTTGTTTAATAATACTTTTCTTGTTATTACAATATAAAAACGCGAATTAAAAAAGTTACAAAATGAAGAAAAGTGGCCCGTGGTCTCAGCATTAGAGAAAATTACTTGGCGCATGTTGCTGTCCTTCGAGATTTGTCTAAACCTACATGCATTTTAAAACAAAAACACGCAGGATTCGCCTCTTAGAATATTATGAACATCTTTCCAAGTCTCTCCCAATAATTTCAAACGCTGGCATCGTGCTCCACTGTGCATTCCATTAAAAGTGTGCGTGTGTCTGATTTTTAAAAAGTATATTTATCATTTCAAGAGTAATAAACACATTATAGTAAATTCTAAGTGGCTGCCTATCAGGATTACCAGGAAGAATTGACTGCATTTCAAACCAAAGATAGACATGAGGTACAGCTGTCAAAACAAAAACAAAACAAAAATCAGCCGAAATCACCCGACCCGGCCCCAGAAAAGACGCCGCGTCGATGCGGCGGGTCCGGCGTCGCGGGGCGCCCTCCCCGCGGTGACACGGCGGTCCCTGGGCAGGGCAGGCCTGGGCGTTCCGGAGGGACCGCGCGCGGAGAGGCCGGGACGCCGCGTGTC